TGGCTATGTGACATTATCTTTTTATCCGATCTTTATTAGAGAAGCCTACCGACTTAACTTCTATTATTTTTAGTCGGTCCACGTTTATTGGCCCCATCATGTGATTATTTGGCATGTGCACTGCGTGTTGTTTAAATATAACAAAACGGCATTCCATAATAGAGACGGCATGAGAAAAAATTCAATACAGAAACCAACTGCGTGCTGTTTTGAAAATTAAAAACGGCAGATCGTTCTCATTTGTAATTGAAAGACGACAAGCGCGAGCGTTGCTTCAGTCTCTCTCTCTCTCTCTCTTGAAATCGACGGAAGATATTTTTTAATTTCTTAAAAAATCAAAACCGCCAATTTCAAATTCGTTCTCTTCTTCTTCGTCACTGTTACAGTATCCCATCCCAAGACGGATCTGGAGAATTACGATGCGAACTCGATTTCTCAACATCGATTACTTCTCTACTCCATCTTCTCAGGTATTTGAAACCCTAGGCTTCCTCAATCTTCCGGCTCCTGATAATTTTCCGGCACCTATCGTCTACGACGGAGAAGAAGACCGTCTCCGATTTGGCTCTGTCGAAAATGTCTGTCTCCCGATCGGAAATTTTCCTATTGAAGCTGCTTTGTCGAAGTTCCTTTCCGACGTGGTTCCCGAACGCGTCAGTGTGGACTATGGAGCTTTTGAAATCGATGATTCTTCCCTCGGAGGTTATTTCTCAGACGAGGTAAAGTTCCTTGGATTTGGTGATACTCAGCTTGAGTCTCGCTGTGTATATGACTGTTTCTGTCAATGGTCCTTATAGTGAAATTGGTTTGTAGATTTTCCGAAATTTTTGGTTTGTGATTGTTGCTTTGATCTCATATTCATACGTAGGTTGGGAAATTTTGGTAGCTTAAGGGAATCTGACTGGAGTTTGAATAACCTAAGTTATGATCTATTGCAGAAGAATGACGGAGATGCCATTGAGGACAAAGCTACATTTAACATTATAGAGTTGGAGACTCCGGAGTTGGATTTTGAAATGGTATTGCTCAAGCTGTGTAAACATTGTACCAATTGAGCCTTTTCTTTCTCCTTGCGAGATAACTTATCTTCCAATTGCAGGAGGAAATGATCTCATCTAAGAGGGAAGATCTCCAATGTTTCTCTGAAGTTCTAGAGATCGAAAATGAGCCGGTAAATCCCTGAGTTGATCTCAGTAGAAGTCAAAGTGTTAAGTTGGCACACACCACAGTAGTTTTGCTTTTGCTGTAGAGTGGTAGAGCTGGATATCCTGTTAGTCTCTGGTTCCGATTCTTCTTTCCGATTGACAAAGCTCTTTGACTAATCAGTTTCATGGAAAATTCTATTTAGCAGTATGGAAAGAGCTAATCTTAACTTGCTGGCCTTGTTGTGTTGATATTGAGTTTTCATCATCTGATTTTAGGTACTCTTCTTATTGCAGGTTAAATATGGCGAATTAGATACTATCTTACAGAACTCAAATGACATCCATCGAAGGATTTATTCTGTTGATTACATTTCTTCTGATTACTTCATAGAGAATAATACTTCGGCAACAGAAAATGAATGCTCCAGCAAGAATCAACCATGGTTCAAAGATGCCAGATTTCCCCTTCTAGAAGTGGATGAAGTAAACTTGAGAGAACTATCGAGCTTATCTATGCTTGATAAAGTATTTACTGTTCTTGAAACAATTGAACCCCAAGACAAGAACGCAGCGAGTGCTCTCATTATCAATTCTAATGACCTTATAGGCTCTAAGGGTTATGATCTATTGGATATCCTCTCTACGGATTGCTATTTGAACAAAAGTGGTCAATCTGATGTGGGGCCAGAGGATGGATTTTCTAAAGTGGATATAGTTAATATCCTGGAAATATCAAATGCTGAGGAAAATTTTCTGTTTGAACAACAGGGAAAGGTGGCTCTCCCAGTAACTTTTGAGGAATTTCAGATCCTGGATGTGGAGATATCTGATGTTTTTGACATCTTCCTTTGTCTTCAAAAAGCCATTGAACCAGAAATATGTTATGGGATGTTCAGTAAAGAGATGAACTTCAAAAATTTCGATGAATTAGTTGTCAGTTCTGAACTTGCCTTCACAGATGATGCCTTCAAGTCTCTGCCTACTCCTATTTTACATGATTATGAGGTGACAAGATCTCTGGATCTCATTTATGAGGATGTTTTGTCAAAGATCAAGCCTCAATCCTTGTCTGCTTCAAATGACATATACTTGCCCTGGAACCTTCTTGAGGAAAGAAACCACAACCATTGTGATTATCCGTTTGAAGAAATAGTTACACTCAACATTGATTTTAAGTGGGAATCTTCAGAAGGAGACAAATGGGTTTATGATTTCATTTTCTCTGAAGATGCTTTCAGCGAGCCACTTGTAGAGAAATGCACTGAACCTTTCTATGGTATATCTACCCTTGATGAGCATGCTCCTGTTAATACTTCTCATGGGTTATTGGAAAACCCTTTCCAAAAAACAGGAGCCAGGGATTGTGGAGTGGATGATAATGCTAAGAAGGCTACGTTGTTGTTCAAATCAATGTCTGCGTTTGATGACTTAACCTTTTTCATGGATCCTCAGAAGGCTGTGATTGAAGATTATCTCGGGTCTAGAGTAGAAGCTGCTAAGACTGCCAACCATAAATTTATGTCTATTGACTCGAAGGCTTCATGTATATCTGGTGGCATGCACCCAAACCTGAAGACGGAGGAAATGATACTTCACAGTGTGCGCCCTTCAGAAAATATACTGGTTCTTGTTGGGGACTTTGTGAAGAGCTATTTAACTCTTGTGAAGGATGAATCAGAGAATTTATCAGAAGATAAACTTAAGTTACTCAGCATATCTAAAGGAAAGCTTATTGACTGCATAAGAAAGGCAAATGTCCACAAAACACAGTTGGCGGATGATAAGACTTTCACGTTTGCATTACTACTAGCAATTAAACAGATGACATGGTATATGTGTTTCTTCGGTATCCATGTGGCATATCTCTATCTTAACAAGTTATGTCGAAGCTCAAATCCCATGAAGCTAGGATTGCATACCCTCTACTCAGCAGTTGAAACAGAACACAAATCAGATGAGACAGACGTCACAAGATCACATCCATCACTAGCTGTTATCCAGGGGATTTTACAGTCAGAATTTGCCCAGGGGAACTCTAAAGCATTACTTTTGGCTGAGAAAGTTTTTTGGTCCTCGCTGAAGAGGCTACTGATGTCCATGGGGTTATCTTACAATGAGCTCAACAGTCCCTCCCCAAGTGGAAATCGACCAAATGTTCATGAAGCCATGGGGTTGAATACCATAGAACATGGTTTCCTGCCGATTTCAGACTGCCTAATTATCTCTTACGAGTGAGTATAATTTCTTCCTATAGTCATATTCTCTTATCAATGATCGATTCTTTTTTCAATATCTTTTAGTTAAATTGGCTTTTGGGAGTAGTTAAGCTAACTAGTCCTTTCTTTTTCATCCAAGGCAAATTTCTCCATCTTTTCCTGTGGAGAATTTCAGCGTCATTGTAGAATATGGAGGTCCAAATGTCTCGCCCAGATTTTCTTTTCCTTCGAAGTTGGATTCCTTTCCTGACTTCCATTTCATAAAAGTTGAGATGGATATGTCCAGTGCATGCGGGCAACTGTGTGCAGGTGTTACAGTACCTTATAGTCTCAAAATGATAAAGGTGAGAAGCATTCAACTTTCAACCTTTTTCTTACAAATTGTATCTGTAGATTGTATAATATGATGAAAGAGTCTGTGTGTGAAGGGTTCAAATTAAGAGCAGAGGAGCAATCTATATCACAAATAATGTTTTCATGAGCACATGATCTTGATTGGTTTTCAACTCTGAAAATCATACAAGTTTAACATTAGTATGTACTTGAACCTAAACTTGTGTTGTCACATCACTGGTATTCACGCTTGTTCCATAACTGCATATATTGAACGCTTTGTTTGAATACGTTTCATAATATACAGATACAAGAAGTCAAGAACTTATGACTGAACTTTAATGTCTCTTTTCTAGGGAGATGAAGTTGAGACGAAAACTGGCTGGTTGGAAGAAGTGTTGAACTTTGTTCCACTTGAAAGTGTGTGTTATGCAGTATCTTCAGAAACCACAAATGAATCTGAATACATTTCCATGCCTCAAGAATCTGAAAGAAAACGTGGGATAATTGAACAAGGAGTTCTCTCTGACCAAAGATCTGTGATTGTTGTGAACACAAAAACTGTTGATAAGGAGATGATCATATCCAGAAGAAGTACATACCTGAAGGTGTTAGCAATGGAAAAAGAAGGAGTGCAAGTTGTGGAGCGCGATTCAGATCTACCTGTGGACCTGATGCTAAGTCCTGCAGTTTGCCTACTCTGGTATGATTGTGAAACTGTTAGTAAGAAGTCGGCTGCAACTATTGGTACTTCCTCAAGCTCACTTTCATGGATTGGAGATATCGCAACCAATGTTTTGACGTCATTGAGTTTTAGTTTCAGCACCTGCATTATGGTAAATTCCATGGAACTTTTCTTCTTGCCATTCGTTTGTGAGAACATTGCACTAATATTTTTGCTAACTTGATGATTACAAACTTACTAAATTTTTGCTACACACTTATGTACCAAGTCTCTGCAACATTTTGTTCTAAACTGTAGAGTGAGTCCTGAGAACCTAAAGAATGATTGTAATTTTTCCTACAGGTTTTTGAGGGGGAACCCACCTTCCTGGCTACAATAATGGACTCCTCTGATGAACTGTATGCAGCAGCTGGTAGCCTGGGAATCAGTTTACAGATGTTTTGCTCATCGTCAGCTGATTTCACGGATGAAATTATATTGAGGTGTATCAAATCTTCTGTTAAGTTGTCCAAACTCCATGTCAAAATGCCAGAGTCAGAATCTCTAGCAGAATCATTTTTCACCAAGTTTCCTTCCGTGAATCCACTCACAGCCCAAGTAATTCTGTCATCTTCTGGGTCACTTCTCGAATTCATGAAGCTCCCACATAGTAGCAAGGTTGAAAGGATGCAAAAGTATCAGGTACATGAAGAGAGTGTTGAACTATTTAGTTCACTATGCAGATACGGAGCGAGGGAGGACTCCAGATCTGTAATGACAGACAGCTCGTCTTC